TGTGGGGGGGGCCCTGGGAAGAGGTTGTTTGTGGTGCAAGCTCCAAGAGAGGAAGGGGTCCTGGAGTGGCAAGGCATGGGACAGATAGGATTTGGTATGGAGAGAGTTCCATAGGAAGAGGATTTTGTCGTGGCAGACACTGGAAAGAGAGAATCCTATGTGATATTTGGGGATTTGGCTATAGGGCCCTTCTAGGAATAGACACCGTTGTAGAATGACCTGGTGTAGAGGGGTGGCTGGAGAAAGAGCTCTGGTAGGCATATTGGGTAATTGAGTGGGGGCAAAGATCCAGTATAGGGGAGAAAAGGATAATAGTTTCAAACTGCAGGAAAACTCGCCTCCCCCATAAGCCCGTGAGGTGGAGGAGTTGGCCTTGTCTGGGAGGGGGTCTTAAAGTAATATGGGGTAGATCTCTTGTGGGGCCCAGAAAAACTAAAATATGGCATAGAGAGACTTCCTGGAGGGATGGTTCCTGGTTTGGGAGGACCTAATATAGGGAAAAGGTCTTGGCATGATACGGAGAGGGTGCCCTGGGAAAGGAATACCCTGGTAGTTGAAGACTCTGTCATAGGGTTTCTCAGACCTCCATGTGGCCTGGAGGTCCCTGAGGATCCTGATATGGTTTTCGGGGCCTGCAGAGGACTCTTGCTGTGGCTTGGGGGGATCTTACTGGGAAGGGTCTATTTAAAGTGGAGGGTCCTTACTGTGGCACTGGAGCATCCTGGTGTTCAGGAAAGAATATTTGAGGGTGAAGTCTTGTATGTGGGGCCGTGGGGAGAGCCATGAGTAGAAAAGGGAAGAAAGAAAGAGTTCTCCCCAGAGTGCCCCTGGTTTCTGTCTTCTCTTTTCCTCCCCCAATTACTGGTGTCTTTCTGTCCTCCTTTCCTGTCACTGTCCATATCCACCTCCTCCCACATTGTCCGGCTCCCAATCATCCCTTTTATGTATTCTTTTCTTTGTGCTGCCTCATTTACTTATTTTATTATCATTTGCTGTGGGACTCTGCTGTGCCACCCTCTCCCACTCACGTGCTCTCTGTCCCCTCTGTACTGCTACCTGTTGCTCTATTGCACTCTTTTTCTCCTTCCCTCGTGCCCTGCCTTCTCTCTTGTGCCTACCTCTTCCCTGCCTGGCACTGTCCCACATATCCCCACATTCCATGTTGTTTTCCCACCTCCGCCTGCTCTCAGGTCTCAGCGGCGGTGGCAGCCGAGGTGCAGGATGCGAGAAGGCGCCCCCCGGCCGGGCTCCCGCTCCAGGCCTCGCACCCCTGCGGCCCTCTGAGCCCACCATGGCCGTCCCACCAGGCCATGGTCCCTTCTCTGGCTTCCCGGGGCCCCAGGAGCACACACAGGTAGGCATTCAGCTGGCTCCTCATCTGCCAGGAGGTAGAGGGAAGCTGGGAATAGAAGGGTCTGAGGGTCAAAAGATGATGCCATTGTGCAGGATAGTCTCCAGGGGACATTGTGAGACCCATGGAAGTAGAATAGTTTCAGGCAATTATTTTGGGGAGCTTGAGTTCAAATCCTGACATGTTGGCTGCATTAGGTCCCCCACACGTCGGCTTTCTGTTGAGTAAAATTGAGCCAATGACAATGCCTCCCTTGCGGGGTTATTGCTAGGGTTAAACACAGCACACAGGGAAAGTGCTAAGGACAGTGCCAGGCACACAGCAGACAGAAAGTGAGAAAAGAAAGTCTGGAGTAAAAGACCTGGAGGGGTCAGTGGGGAAAGGGGCTGAGCCTGAAGGGTCTGGGGCTACATACAGGGCCAGAGTGGTGTGCAGATTTCCAGAGGCAGTAGATAAGGCTCTGAGATGTAGAACCGGAAGCAAGGGTGGAGCAGGAGGTCCAAGGGGCCAGGTCCCGACCCAAGAACCTTGCAGTGAAGGAAGCAGGCAGAGATGCTCCCTGGGAATGAGGGTTGGCATATGTGCTGCCAAAGCAAGCACGTGGGGCGAGGGTTGGGAAGGCCCCAGGGGTTGACAGTGAATGGATTTGGGAGGACTTCAGAGGCGGGAATCCTTGAAGAGATGATCTCAGGTGGAATGTTTGAGGGGCAGAGCCCAGGTATTCTGTATGAGCTCTCCCACTGAGGTTCAGAAAAGAGTGAAAGAACTGACCCAGGGTCTGGGGGAAAGGTCAGGGGTAAACCATTCACTCCTTTTTTCACAGGACAGATTTCTAGCCAACATTCATCATGTGCTGGTCCCTGCTCAAGGCACTGGAGAGTCAGCAAGGACAAGACAAGTTTATGTTCTAGTGGGGGAGCTAGACAAGGACCAGTTAAATATGTGTGTGACCATGATGAGCCAGCCGCCCCTTTAGTTCTTCTCTCCAGGAGTTCTAAGGCAAAGGCCTGTCCTCACTGTCCTCTCCTCACGCTGCCCCACAGGTACTGCCTGATGTGCGGCTACTGCCTCGGAGGCTGCCCCTGGCCTTCCGGGACGCAACCTCAGCTCCGCTGCGCAAGCTCTCTGTGGACCTCATCAAGACCTACAAGCACATTAATGAGGTGGGCAGGTGCTGGACGTTCCTGGGCTGAGTGCTGGGGGGTCTCGGCTGTTCCAGGCTCACAGTTCCCTTTTTCTGGCTGGCTGGGCAGGTGTACTATGCCAAGAAGAAGCGGCGGGCCCAGCAGGCGCCACCCCAGGACTCGAGCACCAAGAAGGAGAAGAAGGTCTTGAACCATGGTTATGACGATGACAACCATGACTATATTGTGCGCAGTGGCGAGCGCTGGCTGGAACGCTACGAGATTGACTCTCTCATTGGCAAAGGCTCCTTTGGCCAGGTACAAGACAAGCCCCATGCTGTCCAGGGATTAGGGGGCACAGGCACCCACAGACATTGACCCAGACATCCGGGTCTTCAAGTCCTGTGCTGGGTCACTTACTCCTGTCCAGTCACTAGGTTTCAATGTTTCCCCGTTTACTTTTTTGTAAAAATACAAATAATAAGACTCCACAGAAGATAGTTTATGTCCATGTTCATATCACTGCTCAGCTGATGGTGAGCACTCAGTTTTGAAGTAGTAGTAGTAATCCTGTGATTGCTGGGTCTTCTGGCTGGAAGGGAAGAGCAGTGCCTGGCTCTGTCCCACCCCCGCCTCACTTGGTCACATGCCCTGCCTGACAGGTGGTGAAAGCTTATGATCATCAGACTCAGGAGCTGGTGGCCATCAAGATCATCAAGAACAAAAAGGCCTTCCTGAACCAGGCCCAGATTGAGCTTCGACTGTTGGAGCTGATGAACCAGCATGACACAGAGATGAAGTACTACATAGGTGAGGCCTGGGCCTGGCTGGGCCTGGGTACCTGGCAGAGGGTGCACCCTGGGATAGGGAGGGGTTACCTGTCCCCCCCCCCACATACAGGAGGTTACCTGCTGTTTTTAGGGCAGCACCTGGTCTGTACCTCTCAGCCTTATGGAGTCTCCTGTTGTTTTTATAACTTTTGCCCGTTCACTTGATAACCGTGGTCAGGGTTTATCGAGTACTCATTAAGGGCCAGGCTTTGTGATAAGCACTTTACATAAATGACCTCACCACAGTCCCATGAGGGACAGGGCACTATTGCCCACATGTTGGAGATAAGAAACCCAGGCATTCCATGTTGTCACTTGCATGAGGTGACAGCTTGTATTCAGCAGAGCTATATTTTGATAAGGTTCCAGAGCCTTGACTGTCAACATCTATGCCAGTCTTTGTTTTTTCTTTTTTTTTCTTTCTTTTCTGCCACTGATTCCTCTTAGAATTAGCAAGGAGATTGACTGTTTCTCTTGAAAGGAAAATTTACAGTCTTCCTACAAAAGGAAAACCAGTGTTTCTTGCCACAAAAATAGATATAACTACGATGAAAACAATGCTATCTATAAAATCAAATGAGGAAGTGTAGAATTATGTTAGGAACTAACAGAAACCTTTTATTTGGTTTAATCAGAAGGTTGACAGAAACTTGAAAAGAGAATTTCCTGTGTGACTCAAGTTACACACCATATAGAAACATCTTGATTGATGGGAGGTATCCATGGGCACCCAACAATTTAGCCAGTGCTTAGGAAGCTGAGGTACTCATTGCTGTGTGACCCTGGTCTACCTTTGGCCCTCTCTGAACCTGTGTCTTCTCTGTTACTGCCTCTTTCACCTCCCCCATAGTCCACCTGAAGCGGCACTTCATGTTCCGCAACCACCTGTGCCTGGTGTTCGAGCTGCTGTCCTACAACCTGTACGACCTCCTGCGCAACACACACTTCCGAGGCGTCTCACTGAATCTGACCCGGAAACTAGCGCAGCAGCTCTGCACGGCGCTGCTCTTCCTGGCTACGCCGGAGCTCAGCATCATTCACTGCGACCTCAAGCCAGAGAACATCCTACTCTGCAACCCCAAGCGCAGTGCTATCAAGATTGTGGATTTCGGCAGTTCCTGCCAGCTTGGCCAGCGGGTGCGGCTCAAACCGTCCAGGGGCGGGGCTAGCAGGGTGGGTGGGGCTGGTGGGGCCGGGCTAGCCCAGGACTGCAGAGACTACACCTGAGGGATTGCGCTGGAGTTGGGGATTTCAGCTGGTGCTGTCCTAGAGGGCCCCTGCTGGCTGGAAGAAGAGAGGTCCACAGATACACTGTCCACTAGGAGGGGAAAGGGTCATTCGTTCCCAGTTGGGTCCTCTTAGCTTTGTGGGTGCCAGTGGCATCAGTAAGGGAGGCTGGGACTCCTGACTATTTCCCTCCCCCAGATCTACCAGTATATCCAGAGCCGCTTCTACCGCTCACCAGAGGTACTCCTGGGCACGCCCTACGACCTGGCCATTGACATGTGGTCCCTGGGCTGCATCCTTGTGGAGATGCACACGGGAGAACCCCTCTTCAGCGGCTCCAATGAGGTGCGCCCCCGCCCCCCAGGAAGGGCTGTACTGGAGGTGGAAGGGTGGAGCCTGGCTGGCCTGGTACCCCTGACCACCGCCCGCCCACAGGTGGACCAGATGAGCCGCATTGTGGAGGTGCTGGGCATCCCACCGGCCCCCATGCTGGAGCAGGCACCCAAGGCTCGCAAATACTTTGAGCGGCTGCCTGGGGGTGGCTGGACTCTACGAAGGACAAAGGAACTCAGGAAGGTGCGGCTCCTGCCCCGCGCCACTCCTCCCACCCTGGTGGCCCCTCACTCTCTCACACTTGGGGCTCCCTCTCTCCCTCCTTGTTTTCCCTCCCAGTGTCTCCCCCTTTCTTCCTTTCCGCCTTGTTTACCCTTTCCTTCCTCCCCTGCCCACCCCGTCTCTCCTTCCTACCCCGCAACTCTAGCTTCTCTCTTTCCACTTTCTCTCTTGTGCCTCTGTTTCCCCGTGTGTGTCTCCCTGCCCCTCCTGCCCACTGACGGCCACTCTCTTGCCCCCCCTCCCACCCCCTCCCTGCCAGGATTACCAGGGCCCCGGGACACGGCGGCTGCAGGAGGTGCTGGGCGTGCAGACGGGCGGGCCCGGGGGCCGGCGGGCGGGGGAGCCGGGCCACAGCCCCGCCGACTACCTCCGCTTCCAGGACCTGGTGCTGCGCATGCTGGAGTATGAGCCCGCCGCCCGCATCAGCCCGTTGGGGGCTCTGCAGCATGGTTTCTTCCGCCGTACGGCCGACGAGGCCACCAACACGGGCCCGGCAGGCAGCAGTGCCTCCACCTCGCCCGCACCTCTCGACACGTGCCCCTCCTCTAGCACCGCCAGCTCCATCTCCAGCTCTGGTGGGTGCCCAGTGCCCAGAAGGGAACAGCAGGGTGGGGTCAGCTCTGGTTTGCCCTGGCCTGGGTGACCTGTCAGTGGGCCTTTGAAACAGCCTGATTTTTCCAAAATAAGGTGGGGTAAGCAAGTTCCATGTGGCCCTGACATGACTCCTGAAGCTGGGCCTGGGCTCACATCCCTAAAACTGTTTTGACTCTTAACGCCCAAAACAAAAATCTGACCCCAAATCGCAAAACTGGATCCTTCAGATGAGTTCTGGCGGATGAGTACAAATCTGGGCCTAGGCCTCAAAACAGACTTGGGAACCCCCAAACCAGCTACCTCTCTCCTCACCTGTGGCCTCTCCTCCCTGGCACTTCCAGGAGGCTCCAGTGGCTCCTCCAGTGACAACCGGACCTATCGCTACAGCAACAGATACTGTGGGGGCCCTGGGCCCCCCATCACTGACTGTGAGATGAACAGCCCCCAGGTACTGGGGCTTTGAGGGCTTTGAAGGTGGGTGATGGGACACCTAGACTTTCAGACCCAGGTCTGTCTCACCAACTGCTGCTTTGGTTTTTTTAGGTCCCACCCTCCCAGCCGCTGCGCCCTTGGGCGGGGGGTGATGTGCCCCACAAGACACATCAAGCCCCTACCTCTGCCTCGTCACTGCCGGGGACAGGGGCCCAGTTACCCCCTCAACCCCGATGCCTTGGCCGTCCCCCATCACCAACTTCGCCACCACCCCCGGAGCTGATGGATGTGAGCCTGGTGGGAGGCCCTCCAGACTGCTCCCCACCTCACCCAGCGCCTGCCCCCCAGCACCCGGCTGCCTCAGCCCTCCGGACTCGGATGACAGGAGGTCGTCCACCTCTCCCACCCCCTGATGACCCTGCCACTCTGGGGCCTCGCCTAGGCCTTCGTGGTGTACCCCAGAGTACAGCAGCCAGTTCATGACCCTGCCCTCTCCCTGGGGCCCCTCCTGAAGCCATACCCTCCCCCCATCTGGGGGCCCTGGGCTCCCATCCTCATCTATCCCCTTGACTGGAATTGCTGCTACCCAGCTGGGGTGGGTGAGGCCTGCACTGATTGGGGCCTGGGGCAGGGGGTCAAGGAGAGGGGGTTGGCCACACTCTCCCCACTGAGGACTGGACCCTTGACCCCCTATCCCCCCTTGTTTTCTATTTATTGTACCAAAGACAGTGGTGGTCCGGTGGAGGGGAGACCCCCCTCATCCCAGGGCCCTAGGAGGGGGTGGGGGCAGGTAGGGGGAGATGGCCTTGCTCCTCCTTGCTGTACCCCCCAGTAAAGAGCTTTCTCACATGCCTGCCTGAGCGTTTGCAGGGCCTTGGTTCCCCTCATCTGGCCCTTAGAGGCATGGTGGGGAAGGGAGTTTGGGGAGGGGGGGTGCCAGAAGAGCTTTGTGGTGTGGATACATCTCTTCTGGAGACATTAGGGATGTTGGTTCAGTCTTGGGGCTGCAGAAGTTCTGGGGCTATGGAATCCTAGACAAATCTGGATAGGATCCTATTCCACATTTGCCTTTTCCAGGGCAAACTAAGGCCCTGAAAGGTAAAGGCCCCCTTCTCTTCTGTCTGGAAAATACCATGTTATGCTCTCATAAGCCACAGAATATACAGGCGGGTCTCCTTATGCTGGGCAGCCATCGGTACATGCTGGGTGTACTTAGCAGGCCCTGTTAGTGCCACTTGAGGGACAGGCAGGCAATAGGTACAGACTTCACCCCGTCCATGTCTGGTTTCCCCCTTTGAAATCATTGCGAACAAAGCATTTTTGAGAGTCTCAGGCAAAAAGATATTCCCTGGGTTCCAGGTAAGTGGTCTTGTTCCCCGGCAATTTGGAAACGTCTGTCTCAACTGGCCAATCAGGAACTTCCTGGTTCACAAAGGGTACGTTCTCCTACTGCTGGGGCGTGGCGTTTCCTGGGAAATGAAGTTCTAGGACGTAGTTTCTTTATCCATTTTTCGTTGGGAAACTACGAAGACCAGAATTCTCCGCTCACGCGTGGGGGCGGGACTTGAGGCAGCCAATCAGCAGTCGGGGTTGTTCGGGCGCCTGGTAGAGGCAGGCAGTAGAGGTGAAGGAAGCCGTGATTGGGGCGTTTGGGCAGTTCTCTGCGTAGGTGTGTGGCTGGCGGGCATACGGAAGGTGGGTCCCTCGTCACTGCGTGCAGGTTATGTGCTCGCGGTTCTGGAGCAGGAGGTAGGCGCTGAGGCCTAAAGCGGCCCTGTCACGAGAGCTATCACTGGTTAGTGTGACTAGGCTGCTTGCGGCAAGCTCCTGTCGGAAGACAGGCCAGGACATCCTTGCGGACTTGTGCCTGTTCATCCTGGAACGCGGTGAGAACCGGGAGGAGGCAGAGTAGGGGGCGCTTCCAGGGAGAGTAGGAGCTGAGCTAAGACCTGCAGACAGAAGGATGTGTTGGGGGGCAGTCCCCTGGAATGGCATGCGCAAAGGTAGTCCTGGAAAGAACCTGTTTTTTATATTTTGGTGGAGATCGTTTTGAAAGTTCTGAATGAATTAACTCGTGGGACATTTTCTTGACCATCTAGAGAGCTGGCCTTTGTCCTGAGAACAAGGAGCAGTCACTACAGGATTTTTAGAAGTCAGGGAGCATGCTTCAGTTTTGTTGCAATCAAGAGGCTGGGGTCTGGCAGTCTCTGTAACAGGTTCCTAGGCAAGAGAGATCCTGGATGGATCAGAGCAGGGGCTATGATAGGGAGGGAAGGATGGAGATTGGTAGCAGAGAAATCCAGAAGGTTGAGTTGGCAGTTTTGTGGAAGAGGTAGAGGGGCTGGGGAAGGGGTATCTCCAGCCCGTGAAACAGATTGTAGATTCCCAATTAAATTTTTCCTTAATTTTTTTCCTCTCTCCAGTACTGGGAATTGAATGCTTTACCACTGAACTATACTCAGCTCACTCAGTAAAAATATTTGGAATTAACAGTATTTGGAGACAGGTGCTATTGTCATCTCCCCTTTGCAAATAAAGGTACAGAAAATAGAGGTAGTTAAGTAATTTGCCCAAGATCACAGAGCTAGGAAGTGAGTCAGGTTGTGTGTGAGTGTGTGTGTGAGAGAGAGAGAACCCTTGACTTTAAGGTGCCAGATGAGCCTAGGGACATCAGAAGGGGCCAGATCATGTAGGTCCATGAAGAATTTGAGACAGGCACAGAAATGTGTGTCTCACATTTCTGTTTCCAGCCCAGAACCCCTCCCCTGAGCTCTTGACCAACTGTCTACCTCATATCTCCTTGTTTTTCTGGAGGTATCTCCAAAGTCATCTTTATCAAATTGAACTCCTATGGTAGAACCTTGATGGTCTTCCTGCTCCTGTTCAATCTGTTTTTCACATGTCCAATCTGAACATCTGCATTGGTCCTATCCCTCCCCTACTCAGAACCTCCCCTACTCAGCTCCATCTCACCCATGTTAAATGCCAGAGTCCTCTCCATGGCCTGTAAGGCCCTGCACAGTCTGCCTTCATCATCTCTGTGACATGGTGGACTATCACTCACTCTGCTCCAGCCACACTGGCCTCAGGACCTTTGCACTTGCTGTTCCCTTTGCCTGGAAGACTCATGTCCCAGATTTCCCATACTCATTCCTTCACCTCCTTTAGTTTTTTACTCAGATAATACTTTCTTCTTGAGATCTTCCATGACCATCCTTCAAAAATTATACCACTGACATCCATTTTTCCTTATGTTAATCATATCACTGTTTATCACACTGTACAATTTATCTTGTTTATTGACACTCCTCCCCCCCATACCATCAGCTTCATGAGGGCAAGGCTTTGATTATCTCTTTCATGCTTTATCTCCAAACCCAAGAGGAGTGGCTTTGCACACAGCAGGACTCACTAACTACTTCTCAGATTGAGCCATTTTCAGAGCGTAGATCTGGATCAGAGTATCTGGGGGCCATCCCTGCACAACTCAAAGGGTCCACCTTAAACTTTTCTGAGGACTCAACACGTTTAGCGGACATTTATCTTGCCTCTGCTTTATGCTCAGTATTGGGAACACAGCAAAGTAGTTTCCCCAAAGAACCCAGTCTCAGGGATGAGGATTCAAATGGTAATCTCACAGATGTGGAATTACAAAGAAAGGGAGAGGATGCTGTGAGCCCCTGATAGGAAATCTGGTCTGGATCCTAGGAAGAGGTTTGAGGCTGTGCAGGAGTTTGACTAACTCCATGGACAGTGTGTGTGATGTTTGGACCTAGAGGCTATGTTTGGGTTGTTTTTGGTTTTGGTACTGGGGATTGAACTCAGGGGCACTCGACTACCGAGCCACATCCCCAGCCCTATTTTGTGTTTTATTTAGAGACAGAGTTGCTTAGTGCCTCACCATTGTGAGGTTGGCTTTGAACTGTGATCCTCCTGCCTTAGGCCTCCCAAGCTGCTGAGATTACAGGCGTGTGCCACCGTACCCGGCATGCAACCACATATTCTTTGCTGTTTCTCCGGTGAAGTAACAGAGTCTCCTTCCTTCCCTTGAATCTGGACTGGCTTATGATATGTTTTAATCAATAGAATGCAGTGAAAAGTGGCATGAATGTGGGGCCTGAACCTTAAGAGGCCCGGTAACTTCTGCTTTTACTCTTAGAGCCCTGGTTGGAGGACTCCTGCAGCGCTGTCTGCCTTTTTTTTTTTTTTTTAATTCTGACTTGTTATATATGACAGCAGAATGCAATACAATTCGCTTTACATATATAGAGCACATTTTTTCATATCTCTGATTGTATCTTTATAGAGGTCCAGCAGCCTCTAGCTGCTCTGGCTATTTTAGCTGATGAGAGTGATGCTGCCTTGGATTTTTAACTGCTGCCAGCTGACCCCATCTGCATTAGAGACAAACCATCCTGAGTCCTCTCACCCTCTGATTCTTGCCTAATTGCAGAATTAAGAGCAAATAAATGGTTGGTATTTTATGACTGTGTTTTAGGATGATTTGTTACACAGCAGTAGCTAACTAAAACAAACTAATATTTTTCAAGATCTTACTATTATGACTGAATCCTTGCAATCACCTTAAGTGGTGCTAATTATTATTCCCATTGTACAGATGAAATAGTGAAGACATAGAAAAGTTAATAAAGCAGTAGCATAGTATCTCTCCCACAGTAAGCCCTGCATATGTGATAGCTAATATCAGCATCATGTTCATCAGCACTAAAATTTTCACAGTTATTAAAAATAAATGATATTCAAGCCAGGCATGGTGGCACATGCCTGTAATCCCAGGGACTCGGGAGGCTGGAGACAGGAGGATCTCAAATTTGAGACCAGACTCAGCAACTTAGTGAGGCTCTAGGCAACTTAACAAGACCCTGACTCAAAATCTCAAACAGAAGACTGGGGATGTGGTAAAACACCCCTGGATTAAATACTCAGTACTCCTCTCCCCAAAATAAAAGTGGTATTCAGTTAGATAAAGACAAGCTTGTTGGGCTGGGGGTCTTGTTTTGTGTTTTGAAGGACTGGTAGAGAGGCAGAATGGCAGAATGTACTTGGCGATCTCCTCGGAGTCCCAGATCCGACCTCAGTTGGCATGCGGCTCCTCCTGGTCTTTCTCCTTAGGGATGCAGTAGATGGTTAATCATCAAGCCTCTTTGAAGTGGAGCCCACCTGTCCTGCCTCACCCCCAGGGCCACACTCCCATGTTCACGCCCCAGCTCTCAGGCGCACAGGCGCATGCGCTGTTCTGCGCCTTGGTGCTCGTGGCAAGCCTGCCTCCTCTGAGCCGGTACCCTGTTGGCAAGATGAGTGGTGAGTAAATCCTGCTGCTAAGAGCTGTGGAAGCCGAGGATTGGAGGGAGAGGGACGAGGGGGTTATAGGTGGCCGTGTTGAAGGTGTCTGTGAGTAAAATGTGAGTGCAGGTCCTGACCAAGGAGGAAAAGGGACAGTCCAGGTCAAAGGCCCCAAGGCACGGGTGTGGTGGTGGTTGTGGTTGTTGTTGAAGCAGAAGGAGCAATGTGGGTGGAGGTCATCCAGGCCCTGATGGCCACAGTAAGGACGTCACCTCTGTGCTGAGAGGCCATCGGAGCCCTTTCAACTAAAACGATAGGATCTAAAGTTCTGCAAGGATTCCTGAGGCCTGGAGCCTAGTCCTGTGGGCACCAGACTCCACAGGGAAGGCCACTGGATCCAGCCCAGAGATGCTGGGGACTTGGCAAGGGTGAGAGCAAAAGAGGTGGTCAGATTTTTTTGTATAATTTATAGGGAAAATCAACAAGATGTGGGGTGTGGGTGTAGGGCTAAAAAGGAGGAGTCGGAGCAGCCTGCGCAGAGGAAGGGGG